TTAGACAATGTTTTGAAAAATGGAATAAAAGACTAGACAAGTGTATTAGTGTAAGTGGAGAGTACTTTGAAGGGGATTGAAGGTTTGTGCTTAAAATTTGAATAAATAAGTTTAAAAAAAAATAAGTTCGGTTTCTTTTGGGTACCCCCTCGTACAAAGTGATAAGAAAATTAGAAACATTAAATAAAACATAATTTAAGTAAAAGTGCTTGGAATATGTCATTAAGATTCATTATTAATTATTCTCTGAAAATGCTATATCATATTTTATGTCTCCTTTTGGACAGCCTCAGACCTTTTTTATTCATATCAAAGGAACCTCAGAATAAAAGAGTTTGGGAACCATGAATTAGGCCATACCATTTCCCTCCGCATCCTTTCATATCCATAATTCACTAATCATCATATCACTCACTGATATATAATTTTAGAAATTAAGCGTTTTTAAATAATCCGAAAAAAAAAGATGACTATTTAACATTCACACACACATCATTCAAGGCATGTTACAGAATCAGCAAATGGCAAAGAACATGCACTTCATATGCTGACTGGCTCAGCTAATGTAGCTTAAAGATTCAATGAAACATTACCTATTCTTATAGATGTAATCAGCTCTACTGTGTTACAGGCTAGTGTTCAGCCTCTGATGCATATTTCTCATGTGGATGTTGGTAACTCTGTGCTGGGAAAAGTATTCATAGAGGCTGGTCATGAGCTAGCAGTGACATTCAAGAACCTCAGTTTCTCTACAGCTCACAGCACAGTGTTCAAAGGTCGGCGCTGGAGCAGTCTGGATGGGTATCTTCGCCCTGCACTAGGACGTCGCAATTTACATGTGCTGCTCAAGACACAGGTTACTAGGGTAATAGACATAACCACATACACCTTCAAGCACCCTGTCCCACTATCAGTACACGTGCCTATGTGTTCATCCATTACACTGAGAACTGATTAGGACTTGGCAAGAAAGATGTTGAAAGTCCCAGGCTGATTTATCATATATGCTTGAATGCAGTGGTGCCTTGTTAGCAGATTCCCCTTTAGGAGCTCTCCACGTCTATGGCAAACATGCACAGTCAGTTTCACAAAATGAATATATGTAGGTTATCTGAAATAAAAAAAAATTAAACTGTTTTTGTGAGAATATTGAGCATGTAAATTCTATATATATTATAATAATTCTATGCATTCTTCATCCTGCATTCCATCAATGATACTGTAAAAAAATAATTTATAGCCCCACCACAGTAAAAACAAATGTACCTTTACAATTGCTTACATTTTAGTATTACATTAATCATTAGTGGAAGTTCTTGTTTTCAAGACATGCATCCCATACAGCAAACTGTCAAAAGTCCCACTGGTTGAGAAGCACTGGGGTTTATGGAATGATAGTAAAGATGAATTTATGTTCACACATGGTTGTGTGAACATTGTAATGAACAGAACAGGAACTGACCTACCTAATAAAGCAATTTTGCACTGTAATATTATGAACCAAAATCTGTAACATATGCAAATAAATTAACAAGAATGTAAAGGTGGAATTCATCAATTCATATATTAATTTTTGAATGATAAAAGCAATTTTCTGACTGCATTTGTGGACAGAATGACGAGAAATGGCCAGTGGTTGACAATTTTTGAGAATTTTGGATTTGTTGGCAGGCCTAGACTGTGAGATATCCCTGTATGATAGGCAATATCCATCCACTTCCTTTTCATTTTATATATTGTTGAAGAAACAAAAATAAAATAATGCTTCCTGTAGCACACAGAGTTCACGTAAATTTATTTAGAAGTCATTTGGGTCCAAAATATGGAAAAAAACTTTGCCACCGATAGGACTTTCTACCATACACAAAACTGGTTTAGAAGAAAAATTGTTCTTTTTCACAAAATCAACCCAAGAAAAATAATGTTTACTGAGAATGGGAAGGCTACCAGGGCAAGTAGACTGGGAAAAACCGGGCATCTCACAAAGAACCATCCAGATGGTTTATGTATCATCCTTCGCGTTGGTTCTAGTTTCTGGAGATAGGGACTAGCTCTGTCTGTTGGTACCATCTGAGTAGGCTTTTTACTTAAGGACAGAGGCAGAGTCTAGTCTCCAAAACGTTCTTAAATAAGAAAACAGGACGATGGATAATGTTAAAAAATGTAATTGTTTTCATATACCATCATCACAAACTCTTAGCTTACTTGCAAACTGATCAATTTTACCCCTGAGAGGCAAATTAAATCTAAAGCCATTTGATGATGATGTGACACATCGTTTAAAACTACTTTTTCTTGGACTTTATATACCATCCTAAGTTTATTGAAACTAGTATGGGAATTTTTATTATTTCCATCTTCTGGTGAATAGGATATGAGGAACATCCATAACAGGTTTCCATTTATATCCTGTTCACCCACTGACATAAATAGAAACAATATAATAACCCCAGTCTATCAACAGCGTTCAAAACAAGAGTTTTAAATGCCTGTAAGATACACTGAATTTGCAGTTCTCACACTGGTGACTATGAGAAATATGGTCTTCTTGGTTGTGATGCTGAGTAGTTCAGAGATAACATAACGTTTTAGGGGGGCATATGACCTTCATCTTCAAAGTAGTAAAGTAAGCCAAACAAGAAACCAGCAGCAGCAGGTGGCAACCTCAGTTGGTTTCTTGCTTCAGCAGCAAAGATGGAGGAAATATATCCCTCCAAAATGTCACACTGTTTCTGAACTTCATGGCATTAAAACCCACAAGACTCTTCATCTCTAGGATAAGTTTGTGAGGGTGCACTCAAAAGTTTCCTGTGCTGTGAAATTTCAGTTATCACCAAAAATTAACAGGACTGTATTCAGTTATTAAATAATTATGCTTTTGTCAACAGGTGGTGACTGATAATGGGAGAGTAGTGCAAGGAGTGGAACTGCGGAGTTCAGGTGACTTCACAAAATTTGTAAGGAGTCGTCAAGAAGTTATGCTAAGTGCTGGTACCATTAATACACCTCACATTCTACTGCAGTCAGGAGTTGGACCACGGGCTCATCTCCAGAAGCATGGGGTGAGCCTCAGTGCCACAGCCTTGTCCATTCCAGGGCTGTAGTCAAGCTGGAGCAGTTAAGGGCAGCTCCTTGGTACTTTGAGGCGTCAACTTGTCTCTTTTATTAAAGACACTAACATATTTGTAAAACAAAGTTCTTATAAATGTAATTCATGAAGGTTTTGTTATTCAGTGAAAGTGTAAAGCAATTATTAAGTGATAACAGAAGTTTCATATCACAATTTATACCAATAATCTGGAGCTGCATGCTAGACCATGCCAGTTCCTTTGTTTATAGGACTACCCCTTGTGTCCTCTTACCTGGATTCCACACAGTTCTCTGTGTCATTCATTTTGTTCTACATAAGGAAATGAAGGCAAGAAAGTGCTTCCATTCTGCAATACACTCCCATCATTCATATATGTATGCTTCTTGCTGAATACTGAGACAGTACTGCTGTCTTTCCTCCAGCTCACTTACGTATTTTTTGCTACAAAAAAGGACCTACATAATTAACAGTGCCTGTCATGTAACAAAATACCTGAAACTCAGAAATTCATTATGCAGCACAAACCAATGCATTCACATATTGCCATACTACTTCTTAAAGACACATTTTAATACAAATTTGTTACAACATCTTGATACCTCAAGTACCATCTTTTCATGCTGTTTACTAAGTATCAATGTACTTTGTAGCAATAACACTAGAACTGTGTTTGGGAGGAACTTGGCTTAAATATTAAACAGACTATGGCCTGCCTTGATTGGGATGTCTCATGGTTTCCCTTAGTTTATATAGCCACATTCTAGGGTAGTAGATGAGAGAAGATTGATATCAGCAGAAATGCGTTTCATGAGAACTGTGGTGGACCGTAAAAGAAACGAGGAAATTGTGAGAGAACTACAAATTCCACAAGTAATAGAATTTATAAACCAAAAGACAAGGAACTGTAAGAAATGTGTTGACAGGATGAGCCTTGAGAGAATTTATTAAGAAAAAATTTCAAATTATCAAGCAAAATGAAAAAGAAGTTTCACAGGACCTCTGAAATGATGGAAGGATTCTGTTTAGTAATATCCATAACATATCCCAATGGACCTAATACTGGAAAGGGTGATGATATTAACAATTCAGTCTCTTCCAGTCTGAGAAGTAGTATCATCTGGGTTGTGACTCTGTAGTCTGAGATAAGTTCATTGGTGTTCCTCAGAAAAGTCGATAAGCTCGTAACAGACTAAATGGCATCACTTTCCAGATGACAGGCCTCTTCATAGTCACTGTCACAAGAAANATTGAAACTAGTATGGGAATTTTTATTATTTCCATCTTCTGGTGAATAGGATATGAGGAACATCCATAACAGGTTTCCATTTATATCCTGTTCACCCACTGACATAAATAGAAACAATATAATAACCCCAGTCTATCAACAGCGTTCAAAACAAGAGTTTTAAATGCCTGTAAGATACACTGAATTTGCAGTTCTCACACTGGTGACTATGAGAAATATGGTCTTCTTGGTTGTGATGCTGAGTAGTTCAGAGATAACATAACGTTTTAGGGGGGCATATGACCTTCATCTTCAAAGTAGTAAAGTAAGCCAAACAAGAAACCAGCAGCAGCAGGTGGCAACCTCAGTTGGTTTCTTGCTTCAGCAGCAAAGATGGAGGAAATATATCCCTCCAAAATGTCACACTGTTTCTGAACTTCATGGCATTAAAACCCACAAGACTCTTCACCTCTAGGATAAGTTTGTGAGGGTGCACTCAAAAGTTTCCTGTGCTGTGAAATTTCAGTTATCACCAAAAATTAACAGGACTGTATTCAGTTATTAAATAATTATGCTTTTGTCAACAGGTGGTGACTGATAATGGGAGAGTAGTGCAAGGAGTGGAACTGCGGAGTTCAGGTGACTTCACAAAATTTGTAAGGAGTCGTCAAGAAGTTATGCTAAGTGCTGGTACCATTAATACACCTCACATTCTACTGCAGTCAGGAGTTGGACCACGGGCTCATCTCCAGAAGCATGGGGTGAGCCTCAGTGCCACAGCCTTGTCCATTCCAGGGCTGTAGTCAAGCTGGAGCAGTTAAGGGCAGCTCCTTGGTACTTTGAGGCGTCAACTTGTCTCTTTTATTAAAGACACTAACATATTTGTAAAACAAAGTTCTTATAAATGTAATTCATGAAGGTTTTGTTATTCAGTGAAAGTGTAAAGCAATTATTAAGTGATAACAGAAGTTTCATATCACAATTTATACCAATAATCTGGAGCTGCATGCTAGACCATGCCAGTTCCTTTGTTTATAGGACTACCCCTTGTGTCCTCTTACCTGGATTCCACACAGTTCTCTGTGTCATTCATTTTGTTCTACATAAGGAAATGAAGGCAAGAAAGTGCTTCCATTCTGCAATACACTCCCATCATTCATATATGTATGCTTCTTGCTGAATACTGAGACAGTACTGCTGTCTTTCCTCCAGCTCACTTACGTATTTTTTGCTACAAAAAAGGACCTACATAATTAACAGTGCCTGTCATGTAACAAAATACCTGAAACTCAGAAATTCATTATGCAGCACAAACCAATGCATTCACATATTGCCATACTACTTCTTAAAGACACATTTTAATACAAATTTGTTACAACATCTTGATACCTCAAGTACCATCTTTTCATGCTGTTTACTAAGTATCAATGTACTTTGTAGCAATAACACTAGAACTGTGTTTGGGAGGAACTTGGCTTAAATATTAAACAGACTATGGCCTGCCTTGATTGGGATGTCTCATGGTTTCCCTTAGTTTATATAGCCACATTCTAGGGTAGTAGATGAGAGAAGATTGATATCAGCAGAAATGCGTTTCATGAGAACTGTGGTGGACCGTAAAAGAAACGAGGAAATTGTGAGAGAACTACAAATTCCACAAGTAATAGAATTTATAAACCAAAAGACAAGGAACTGTAAGAAATGTGTTGACAGGATGAGCCTTGAGAGAATTTATTAAGAAAAAATTTCAAATTATCAAGCAAAATGAAAAAGAAGTTTCACAGGACCTCTGAAATGATGGAAGGATTCTGTTTAGTAATATCCATAACATATCCCAATGGACCTAATACTGGAAAGGGTGATGATATTAACAATTCAGTCTCTTCCAGTCTGAGAAGTAGTATCATCTGGGTTGTGACTCTGTAGTCTGAGATAAGTTCATTGGTGTTCCTCAGAAAAGTCGATAAGCTCGTAACAGACTAAATGGCATCACTTTCCAGATGACAGGCCTCTTCATAGTCACTGTCACAAGAAACTCAGACCTTATATTTTACAGTCTCATTCAACATTACATAAAATTTCCACTGAAATAACCTAAGAATCTACTCTACATGTTAAAATGCTTGAAGAGAAAATCTGTTTCAGATCTCGGTGGTGTCGGACCTCAAAGTTGGCTACAACCTTCATGATCATCTCAATATGCCACTGTATGTTAGTCTGAAATCTCCAGTCAGTGTCACGTTTGCTAAAGTTCAGCAACTACACCAACTCTGGGATTACATGATCCATGGGAAAGGTAAGATTTTGTTTAACTTTTGACAAATTATATAGCATATTTCGCCTCCATATACTCATGCAATGGAACACTAGACTTAAGTTCCTTGATTCAAGGTTTTCCCTCACTTAATGTTAAATTTCAGTGGTTTCACACCAATAACCTCAGTGCTAAATTTCTTCCACTTCCTCAGTGTGGCATTCAGATCCACTGTTACTCAAAGAAACCCTAGATGGGGGTTCCACTGTAATCACTGTTTAAGTGGTGATCACATTTTCTATTTTGTATGGTATTTTAGAAGACCTGTATATTCAAATGGAGACACGCTATATGGAGAAGGAACAACAATATCTGTATTCAGTATATCTGCCTGTGGAAACATTTGGATCACTATGTACAAGTATATATATATATATACAGTAAAACTTGGTTATAGCAACATCGGTTTCTGTGACACCTTGTCTATTGCGTCAAATATTCAATGGTACGAACTAATTCCTCATAAAGCAACTGTTTTTATACCTTGCTTAGTACGACATGCACAAATGCATCAACCTCGTATGTAACGTCATTTTCATTCCTGAATTTCTCTGATATGGACATTGAACGTAATTTAGAAAGTGTGTATTGGGCAAGTAACAGGAAACAGATGAAGATAACTGATTACTGTACTCGTAT